GTGGTTTTGATTTGTATTTCCCTGATGCTGAGTGATGTTGAGCATTTTTTCCTGTGTCTGTTAGCCATAAGAGAGAGAATCTTAAGCAGGCTCCACACCTAGTGTGGAGCCTGCTGCGGGGCATGATCTCATGACCTGAGCCGAAATCAAGTGTCAGGCACTTAACCGACTGAGCCACCCAGGTAGGTGCCTCAGCAGCTTTCATTTCTTGGCTGCTTTACCTTTTATCCATGAGGTCATTTGAAATGGCCTATATTTCTCATTAAGCTACTTTTTCATCACTTTCAACATATTCTTAAAAAAAAACTGATTAAAAAAAATCTTAGTATTTTGTCATGCTGGGATGGTTCTGTAAAGTAATGGAAAGTTTGGATAAAACATCCATCTCTCAGGAGACAGTGACAAAAAAGTAAGATTGCTTCTGGATATCATAGTGTGTCAAGGTAAATCTAGACTGGAGACTGAGACCATCTGTCTTTTTCACTTTAAGTATATGGGAATAATACAATGGTGAAAAATTTGGCATTGTTGGTATACAATCAATAACATGACTTGCAAAGCTTGGATAACACAGATACTACATTAAGGGTCAGCTGCAGTCATCATTTCTTATGCCTTGTGGGATCTTAGGAATTCCAGATGGTCTTTTCTCTCGGGTACTGGTTAATTGGGTTTTAGTGTGGCAGTGGTTTAAACCTTAGTATTGATGGACATTTTCATTCAGAATAAATGGCAAAAGATTTAAAAAAAAAAGCGTTAAATGATTGCAGATACCATCTACTAAACTCTGAATTACGGTTTTGTTTCCTATACCAAGCAAATTTCTCTATTGACTAAATGAGAAGGATATTCTAGCTAACTTAAGCAGGAAAGGGATTTATTGGAAGGATGTTATATAGCTCACAGAATTGATAATAAGGATGGAGAAATAGGCTCAGAAAATAGGAAGGAACCAAAGGCAATTGAGAATTGGTCTGTGCTCATGCCAAAGGAAAAGTTTAATTAGAAAGCCAGTTCTGTTTCTATGATTAAGTTGTTCCTGTATCTGTATTACCCCTTCAAGGTTGAAATTCCTTTGTGGCAGCATCCCATTGACAGCCTAGAGCAGCAGTTCTCTTGTTTCCAGCTTATAGGGCGGTGTCTTAGGTCAAAACTTTTTATAACAATTCTTATAACACTTGCCATTTGCACTGTTGATTGTAGAAGCAATGGTAGGCAAAAGTTACGGTGCCTTAGCATGGATCAAGGCAATAGCACATATGTATATCTCATATATATATATATATATGATATATATATATTTGTGTGTATATATATATATCATATATATGATATAAATATATTTGTGTATGTATATATATTATATATAACATATATATTAATTTTGTGTATAGTTTAGAGCTCCATCTTGTTCATTTGGCCAGATGTCACTGGATATTTTCAGAGCTGTTTTATCAGCAAGTTGATAATGTAGTGATAATGTAGTGTGAGAATATCATTACTGGAATATATTGCCTGGGTATGAATCCTAACTTCCCCACTTAACTAGCTGTGAGATGCTGGGCAACATTTAACCTGTCTAAGCGCCAGTTAATTCTTCTGTAAAATGGGGATGATAATGATAGTTACCTCATAGAAGTAGCATGAGGATTAAATAAGTTAATACAAATAAATAATTTAGAACAATGTATGGCTTATAATAAATAGTAAATGTTAATTTTCATGATTTATAATTATTGTTGGGGAGGAAAAACTTTTCTCTGCCTTTGAAGGTTCTTTAGTCTAAGAATTTTTTTTTTTTTTTAAAGCTTTTATTTATTTGAGAGAAAGAGAAAGAGAGCACAAGCGGGGGAGTGGCAGAGAAAGACGGAGAAGCAGGCTCCCCATTGAACAGGGAGCTGGATTTGGAGCTTGATCCCAGGACCCTGGTATCATGACCTGAACAAAGGCAGATGCTTAACTGACTGAGCCACCCAAGCGCCCCGGAGCTGGTCTGAGAATTAAATTGACATGAGACAGATTGACAGGAGAAAATCAAATTAATTACCTATAGGGAATCCACATAATTATGAGATTCTAAAGACAGCCAGGCAAAATGAGGTATATATGTCATCCTGAGCTTAGGAGAAAGGGGTAGGAAAGCAATTCACAGGAAGATGAAAAAGAGTAAATGTTCGGTAAACAAATGTTGGGCCCTGTAGAAACAATAGGAACAATAAGTTATAGAGAGGACTTTAATCAGAGATCAAAGTTTGCTTTAGTTTCTCCCTGTCTACTGCTCTGAGTTCATATTATAATGTGGTTTTCTATAGTGATAGCTCTCTTCCTGGAGCAGGCCCTTTAATCTAAGTTCTTTTAGGCATTTAGGGGAAGGTCAGAGTTTCTGTGTCTTTTGGGCCTTGATTATTTTTGTTTTTAGCTCAAAATAATCTGAATGTCCAAGTGGCATATCTGGGGACAACTAATTTACTCTGAACCCCTACATTATCATGTTTTCAAATCTGGTCTCTGACAAGGTGGTCACAAGAGAAGGGACCATAGATATGAATCTGAGCTGTTTGGTTCTTGTAGAGCTGGTTAACTGATTCATCAGGTTAAGATATTGATCTGGAAGTATGAACTACTGGTTTTATTTTATTTATTATCATTTGTTTATTAAGATTTTATTTATTTATTTGACAGAGAGAGAGCAAGAGAGGGAACACAGCAGGGGGAGTAGGAGAGGGAGAAGCAGGCTACCTGCTGATCAGGGAGCCCGATGCGGGGCTCGATCCCAGGACCCTGGGATCATGACCTGAGCCAAAGGCAGACGCTTAACGACTGAGCCACCCAGGCGCCCCTACTACTATTTTTTAAGATTTTATATACCTGAGATAGAGTGAGAAAGAGTGAGAGAGCACAAGTTGGGGGGACGGGCAGAGGGAGAGGGAGAAGCAGGCTGTCCACTGAGCGGGGAGCCTGCTGTGGGGCTCCATCCCAGGATCCCGAGATCATGACTGGAGCCAAAGGCAGACACTCAACTGACTGAGCCATCCAGGCACTCTTGCTACTGGTTTTAGATTTAAAATGTATAATGTGAGCTTTTCCATCATGTTTCCTACTAGTTGTATGTCAGCCGGGGCCAATGTAGAACAAAAATGAACAAATTGCAAACAACTATTCAAGAATAAAACTTGAGAAAAACATATCCTGCTTAGTTTGATAGTGATTTTTTCTTTGTAGACAGGTACAAATAATGGTGATTTTTTTTTTGTATACACAGAAGCTGTAAAATAATATATTTCTTTAAGTATTTAATCTTGTTTAGTCATTATTTGACAAATATAAAGACCACATCTTTTGTTAATATCTGAGTTTTTTTCCTTAAAAGACTTTTTTTTTTTTTTTTTTTTTAGGGCAGGGCTATGACTTGAGTTTTTAGCTCCAGCTGGTAACACAGTATCTGAAATGGGATACGTTCATAGCTAATTTTTGCTGAATAAGTAATATATTTTCATGTGGAGTCACATTTTCTACTCTGCTTGAAAATTATTTTCAAAAGAGTATGCTTTGTGGTGACTATAGTTTATAATACTTTATTGCATATTTGAAATTGCTAAGAGAGTAGGTCTTAAAAGTTGTCATAAAAAATTTTGTAACTATGGTGAGGTATGTTAACTAGACTTACTGTGATCACTTTGCAATATATGCAAATAGTGAATCATATTGTACACGTGTCAGTTATATCTCAATTAAAAAAGGAGGCTGTTAAAAAAATGAGTATGGCTTTACTAAATACAGTGCAAATTCGTGGGGTATTGCAAGGAGCTGTCACAGTATATCGCAATGGTGGGTGGATGTGAGGTGGGATGGGGAAAGGAAGGATATGTGCTGGAGAATACTCTCAGACATGCAGCTGAGTATAGGTGGATAATATAATTGAACCTTTCATTTTTTTTGTTTTGTTTTGTTTTAAATGTCCTGCTCTCCTCAAAATCCTGTTTTATTAGTATACTGGCTAAGCCTCCAGATGCCTGCACTGTTAAAGCCTCCAGATGCCTGCACCAGACAAGAAACTGTCTTGTCCTTAGGACTTGCTGTCTGGATAGTCTTTATTGTATTTTGTATTTAGGCATAACCCCTGGCTGTGGCCAAGTGAACACTAGAAAACTAAACCAAGAACAGTTAATTATAGCTTGATAGGAAGAGATCATCAGCTGGGTTAATCAAATTTTTCCCTGGAGATTTAAAAAAAATTCAGAATGTGGAGAGATGGAGACATCTGTGGGGACAAAAATTGAAACAGTGTATTAGGAAATAAATTGAGGTAAACATGGTAAGATGTGTTACCATGTGATATGGAGAAGCAAAAATATGAGAAATTAGAGATAGCCATTTAATAATAGTGGAACCGAAAGAGACAGATATTTGGAATTAAGCTGTATAATTAATAAGGAGAGCAATAGAGAAAAGATTGCCTCTTTGAGTAATTGATTCAATCCTTTTATTTAACAAGAATTTATTGAATTACTTACTGCTATGTACCAGACACTGTTCTACCCCAAGAGTACTGCTCCGGAAAAGAGTTAAGCCAGTGGAGCGCCTGGCTGGCTCAGTCGGTAGAGCATGTGCCTCTTGATCTGAGGGTCCTGAGTTAGAGTCCCATGTTGGGTGTGGAGCCTACTTAAAAAAACAAAACAAAACAATAACAAACAAAAACAGTTAAGCTAGTGATTCTCAACTGGCTGTGATTTTTGCCTGCCAGAGAATATTTGGCAATGTTTAGAGACATTTTGGTTGTCACAGATTGAAAGGGGGTGCTATTTGTATTCTAATGAGTAGAGGACAGGGATGCTGCTAAATGCAACGCACAGAATAATTCTTAAAAAAATAAATAAATAATCTGACTCAAAATGTCAGTAATGCTGAAATTGAGACCCCCTGGGATAAGCCATCATAAGTATGTATTTCACAGAATAATTATTATCTTGTAGTTAACATTTAACTTTCTTTGTTTTCAGAAGTGGGGAAGTTTACTGGAGTAAAATGGAGGCCTCAGTAATATTACCCATCCTGAAGAAAAAACTTGCGTTCCTTTCAGGTATGCTTTCTTCTTAAAATTGGAAGTGTTTGATGTATAGTTTTGTTTAAACTTTTTTCTTTGATAAATTTGACAGAAATGCATTTTTCTGTGAAGGTTTCATTTCAGAGACCTCTTTTAATCAGAATGGATAGCTGTGCGAGCCACCTCTGTCACTGTTGGTACTTGGCAGGCCAATATTTATTCTGTAATTGATTAAAATGACCTGTACAAGGTAGACATCATCTTTTTATATAAAAATGAAATTATATGGGCCAAGAATAATTGACTAACCAGCACCTAAATAATTGTTTTTGAAATATGAATTGGTTTTTATGATATCCTGCATCCTAGCTTTCATCTTCCATCTTCCTGTGAGATAGTTTCAGTGCACTTGAGGGAGTTAGGAAATATCAGTTACATGGTTTTCACTTTTTACTGTTCGAACTGGGTTATACAGGCTTGAATTTATCTCTGGTTATTAACCTAAAGTATGTATCAGCTAAGAATCAAAGAGAAGCTGCAAGATACTTTATTAGTGTGAGAACAGGGACATGGTACATTGGGTATAGCAATTTTCTGGAATTAAGGATCATTGAGTAAATTTGCACATGCTTTGGAATAGGTACTCTGGCCTGCCTGTTTAGGGTTACTTGGACTTTTTTTATCTTGCTTTCTATTTCTTTTTTTCTTTAGATCCTATCATAATTGTCTTGATCATTAAGCTACCAACATCCTTTTTTAAAAGTATATTGTATTTCTCTTTGTTTTTATTTTATTTTATTTTAAAGATTTTTATTTATTTGAGAGAGAATGATAGCATGAGAGGGGGAAGGGTCAGAGGGAGAAGCAAACTCCCTGCTGAGCAGGGAGCCCGATGCATGACTCTATCCTGGGACTCCAGGATCATGACCTGAGCCAAAGGCAGTCGCTTAACCAAGTGAACCACCCAGGCACCCTTGTATCTCTCTTTGAATTGGTATGTTTTTCTAGTGTAGCTTATAAAGGACAAAATAAGATATTGAATTCCACTAGTATTCTTGTTTCCTTATTTAATGTATTTCCTTTTTTAAAATACAACTTCTTTCCTTACCAGTTGACACTTATGTTTTCTCCATTCTTTTCTGGTATTAATGGTGTTACAGGAAACATTCTTATTCATCGTTCGTGTGCTTTGTAAGTTCAGCAGTATAAATTCCCATATGTGGAGCTGTTAAAGAGAATTTACATTTAAATTTGTGTTAGATTTTGTTGGATTACTCTCTAAGAATATTGTTTCAATTTCTGTTTCTCCCACCAGTGTAAGAAAATGTCTGTTTGCCCACACTTTTGCCAAGAGTGGATATTATTATTCTTCGGTAATCTTTATCAGTGACATTTTTGCATCTTTTTGACACTTATCTATGTGCAGCATTTCACTCTGTTGGCCATATTTACTTTTTTAAAAAAGATTTTATTTATTTATTTACAGAGAGGGTGTGGGCGTGTGCAAGGGCGGCGGGGAGAGAATCCTTGAGCAGACTCCCCGTTGAACATGGAGCCAGTCTTGGGGCTTGATCTCAAGATCCTGAGTTCATGACCTGAGCTGAAACCAAGAGTCAGTTGCTTAACCGACTGAGCCACCCAGGCGCCCCAGCCATATCTATCTTGAAGCTCTTTTTTTCTCTTGGCTTCTGCCCTCTTTTTCATTTACTCTAGTAATTATTTTATTGTTCCTTGGTGAAAGCTGAGGACATGAGGTTAAATGTAGTCCTGAATGTTAGAACTGTCCTCTGAAGACAAGTCCACAGTGGGTCAGAATGCTACAGTTCAGGTATGAACCTTTTTGCACATTTGGTTTAATGCAGGCATAAAGCTTAGCAATTTTTGAGGAGCAAATGAAATTTCCCCTAGCCCACCTTTCTTGACTTTCTCTATTGACTTAATTATTTCAATGAATAATTTTCACCTTTTTTTAGTAATAGAGAAAAACTTTTCAAACCAAAATCATTTGGGGGGTTCAGCTTGAAAACTATGGGTGCAATCCATTTATTAGAGAGAGAATGAGAGACAGCATGAGAGGGAGGAGAGTCAGAGGGAGAAGCAGACTCCCCGCCGAGCAGGGAGCCCGATGTGGGACTCGATCCCGGGACTCCAGGATCATGACCTGAGCCGAAGGCAGCCGCCCAACCAACTGAGCCACCCAGGCGCCCGGTGCAATCCATTTAAAAAAAATAAAACCTGAACAAAAGCCATGAGTAGTTGAAGTCACTATTGATTACCTATTAAGTTCAACCATTCGAAATTATATTTATTCAGATTAAACAAACTGCTTGAATATTATTAATTTATATGGTTAATCTAATAAAAGAAAATCATTTGTGGTTGGTCCATCATGAATTGCCCTCATGTCACTCATAGTAGTTGTTTTTTCACTTCACAGCTTTCAGTTTTTAGTGATAGATTTCTAGAGATCATATAGAATTTTTACCTTTAATATTTGCTGTTTTTTAAGCTTCTAAAATTGCCGTAAATGTCAGTTGTGTCAGAGAATGGACTTCAGTGTCAAAGTCAGTCACATGGAGAACTTTCAAAGAAGATATGTGTGTATAAAAGTATTAGTTAGATTTTAATGCTTATGGGAGATTGAAGAGGGCTTGAGCATTCACGAAATGCGAGTATGTTCCAGTGCCTGGCTTTCAGGCTTCTACAGCCAGGTCCCATGTGCTCTTTTTAGCTGGGCAGGTCTTTGTCTTTCTTGCCTTGTGAATAGAAGTCCTGTCTGACCTCTGTGGGTTCACTCAGATCATTGCTCATCACAGAATACTCTAATACTCTTTTAACTTGGTTTATAAATTCTACCCATTTTTTTAAGTCTTAACTTCTCTACAGAGCTTTTTACCTTTATCATAGCTCTTATCATTTTCTCATTTTTCTAAATCCTTTTTTGTAATACTTTATATGTATACAACACACCCTAGAAGATAAACTCATATTTCATAACTGTTATTTCTTAGGATGTAAAGCCTTTCTTCCTGGGTTGACTGGAAATTTACTTTACTTGTAAATGCTTACAGTGCCAGGTGTACAGTAGGTGCTCGATGAATTGATCACATTAAGAGCAGCCTAAATGGAAGAAAATTAAACAAAATGATAATTGCTGTGTTTAAGTGAAGATTTCATGGGTGAATTTTTTTCTCTTATTCTTTCTAAATTTGGTATAATTTTGCTATATTACTCTACACATTTATAATATATAAAATTAGCAGCTATTAGATAGTTCTTTTTACTTATATCTTAAATACTATTTGTTTTAGTAACATTGGACCCAAACATATTTATTTAGTGCTTTAATATCTGTTACATGTTGTATTTATATCTTTTTTTTTCTAATAGGAGGAAAGGACAGACGGAGTGGCCTCATTCTGACAATTCCATTATGCCTGGAACAGACAAATATGGATGAGCTGAGTGTTACCTTAGACTACCTACTCAGCATTCCAAGGTGACTCTAAAGGTGTCTTTTTAAAAATCTTGTTATGTTGTCATTCACTTACTAATGTTTCCTGTTATTAAGGTGTATGTTGCTATGTCACCTGCTTTTATTAGTGAAATTATAATTAAAAACACTAGAATCAATCATTTCTGATATAACAGCAGATAAAAGAATTATTGTATGCTCTTAAGGCACTGGATAATGTGATATAGATTTCCAAAATGTATGCACTGTCAACTTTTAAGGAACACAAAGACAGAGCATCTCTGTACCATGCAACTTGAGAAAACATAGAGAAGTGAATTTAGTAGAAAGCGTCTTTTATTTAAATAACTATTTCACTATATAGATATAAACCTGTAGGTTTTAATATACTGAGTAAAGGCTATTAGGAATTCAAGACATTTTTATTTTAAAAAATGGAAAAAATGTTTATGTTTTAATTGAAGATCCTTGGATTTCGTATTTCTTGGGTGAAGACAAAACAAACTTTTCTTGTTGCTTGAGCCTCCCTATCACTTCAACAACAAAAATAATCTCCCTCCCCAATTTCCTCTTCCATATGTGATATTTGGAGGCTGAAGTCTTACTGCATGTTAGAATCATCTGGAGATTTTTTTTTTCAAAATTCTTATGCTCTCACTGGGTGTTATGCACAAACAATGAATCATGGAACACTACATCAAAAACTAATGATGTAATGTATGGTGATTAACATAATAAAAAATTTAAAGATTAATAAAAAAAAAATTCTAATGCTCTCCAGAGATTCTGATTGAGTTGCTCTTGGGAGGTCTGCTCATCAGATGTTTTTTTAAAAAAATCTTTTAATGGGGTGCCTGGCTGGCTCAGTTGGTGGAGCATATAACTCTTGATCTTGGGGTTGTGAGTTCGAGCCCCACACTGGGTGTAGAGATTACTTAAAATCTTTAAAAAAATATCCTTCGGGTTTCTGGGTGCCTCAGTTGGTTAAACGTCTGACTTTTGATTTTGGCTTGGGTCATAATCTTGGGTTCCTGGGATCAAGCCCTCTGTTGGGCTCCACGCTCAATGTGGAGTCTGCTTGGGATTCTCTTTCTCTTTCTCCCTCTGGCCACCCCCACGCCCCCTGCTTATGTTCTCGCTCTCTCTAATAAGTGAATAAAATCTTTAAAAATAAGTGCTTTATAATCCTTTAAGCTTCCCAGGTAATTCTTATTTGCAGTCAGATTTGCAATCTGCTATAATAAAGAATGTGAATGAGGACAGACCTTTTTGTTTGTAAAATATAGAGGTGGTTTTGGAACAAAACTCTCTTATTTAATGCTCTTGAGCTCCAGATAATGAATTTTAAACATTTTAGTCAGAACAGTTCTTTGTATTCTTCCTGTATTTGCATTACTGATAAAATGGATTATTTCGTTTTAAACCACCTTGCAGAGTTACAGGGTGAAAACTATATTTTAGAACCACTGACTCTAAATCATACCTGCTTCCAATGTTGGCCTGTAATTTAATGATTCTCTTGCTGATTGTTTTTTTTCTGTATTGGGAAAATAGAGGTCTTCAAGTGAGAATTTTCCATTTTTTTTACTTTCTGGGAAGGAAAGTTAGCAGAACTGACAGTGTGCTGTGTTAGTATTGAATAACCTTCCTAATCCTTTGAGCTGAATGCTAGTTTGTATTATTCACCATTAGATAACAAACTATTTCTAGGTAAATGATACCAGCTAGACATACAGCTAACAAATTCTGAAAAAGTATGCATGATTCACAGATTGTTAACATGTGATTAGTGAACTCAGAGGCCATCTGAACCAACTGCCTTATGTAAGTGAGGGAATTGAGACTTAGGTTATAGTTACTTGCCCAGGATTATACAGCTAGTTAGTAGTAAGCTGGGACTAGAATCTATCATTGCTGACACCAATCCAGAGCTCTTCATATTTCAAATGAATAGAGTTTAGTATAGTTGAATCTGAGGTGAGGTGAGGTTCTGAAGTTGGAATGTACTGCACAAATTAGTGATAGAATTATCCATGAAAAATGCCTAAGCAGGGATTAGAGGTTAGAGACTTACAAACTTTTTTCATGAATATGCTAGGTTTTCCTCTAGTGACACTGGAGGAACATGTCATTGAGGCTAAGTTCCAGAAGACACATTCAGCTTGTGGTTAAGTTTGTGATAAAAAAATGCATGCTTATGGGGTGCCTGGGTGGCTCAGTCTCTTCAGGTCTTCTGCCTGTTTTTTAATCATACTACTTTTTTTTCATGTTGAGTTGTAGAAGTTCTTTATATATATATATTTAAGATTTTATTTATTTATTTGAGAGAGAGAATGAGATAGCACGAGAGGGAAGAGGGTCAGAGGGAGAAGCAGACTCCCTGCTGAGCAGGGAGCCCGATGCGGGACTCGATCCCGGGACTCCAGGATCATGACCTAAGCCGAAGGCAGTTGCTTAACCAACTGAGCCACCCAGGCGCCCTATATATTTTTGATATTAATCCCTTATTGGATATATCACTTGGAAATAGCTTCTCCTAGGTTGCCTTTTTGTTTTGTTGATGATTTCCTTTGCTGTGCAAAAGCTTTTTATTTTGGCATAGTCCCAGTAGTTTTTGCTCTTGTTTCCCTGGTCTGAGAAGACATATCCATAAGTATGTTGCTAAAGCCAATGTACAAGATTATTTTTTAAATTTCTCTTTCTTCTATGTTGTTATTAGTGTATAGAAAAGCAACCGATTTCTTTATATTAATTTGTATCTTACAACTTTACTGATTTCATTTATTCAAATAGTTTTTTGGTGGCATCCTTAGAGTTTTCTGTATATGACATCTTCAGATAATGACAGTTTTACTTCTTAACAGTTTGGATGTCTTTTATTTCTTTTTCTTGTTTGCTGACTTCCAGTACTATGCTGAACAAAAGTGGTGAGAGTAGACATCCTTGTCTTGTTCCTGATCTTAAAGGAAATGCTTTCCATTTTTCACCATTGAGTATGATGTTAGCTGTGGGTTTTTCTTATATAGCCTTTATTATGTTAAAGTATATTCCCTCTAAATCCACTTTGTTGATAATGTTTATCATGAACAGATGTTGTGTTTTGTCAGATGCTTTTTCTGCATCTATTGACATAATCATGCAGTTTTTATCCTTTCTCTTGTTAATGTCATGGTATGACATCGATTGATTTGCAAATATCAAACCGTCCTTTCATCCCTGGAATAAATCTTACTTGGTCATGGTGAATAATCCTTTTACTGTATCATTAAATGTGCTTTGCTTATATTTTGTTGAGGATTTTTGCATCCACAGTCTTTAGGTATATTGGCCTGTATTTTTCTTTTTCTGTATTATCTTTGGTTTTGGTATCAGGATAATGTTGGCCTTACAGAATGAATTTGGAAGTTTCCCTTCCTCTTCTATTTTTTAGAATAGTTTGATAAGAATGGGTATTAACTCTTTAGATATTTGGTTGAATTTACCTGCGAAGCCATCTTGTCCTGGACTTTTTTTGGGAGTTTTTTGATTACCAATTCAATTTTGTTACTAGTAATCAGTATGTCCGTATGTTCTGTTTCTTCCTGATGCAGTTTTAGAGGATTGTTTCTAGGAGTTGATCCATTTCATCTAGGTTGTTTAATTTGTTGGCATATAATTTTTTATAGCATTATCTCCTAATTCTTCATATTTCTGTGGTGTCAGTTGTCCTCCTTTATCCTTTCTGATTTTATTTATTTGAGTTCCCTTTTTTTGTTGATTAGTTCAGTTAAAGGTTTATCAATTTTATCTTTTTAAAGAATCAGCTCTTCGTTTCTTTGACCTTTTCTAATTTTTTTATAGTCTCTATTTATTTCCACCCTCATCTTTATCATTTCCTTCCTTCTGACATTGGGTTTTGTTTGTTCTTTTTCTGGTTCCTTTAGGTGTAAGATTAGATTGTTTATTTGAGATTTTTCATGTTTCTTGAGGTAAGTTTGTATCATTAAGAACTTCTGTTTTAGAACTGCTTTTGCTGCATCCCAAAGATTTTGTACTGTTATGTTTTTGTTTTTATTTGTCTTCATGTATTTTTTTAATTTTCTCTGATTTCTTCATTGACCCATTGGTTGTTTAGTAGCATGTTGGCTTCTGTGTGTTTGTGTTTTTTCTAGTTTTTTTCTTGTAATTGATTTCTAGTTTCATACTGTTGTGGTAGGAAAAGATGCTTTATATGTCAGTCTTCTTAAATTTATTGAGACTTGTTTTGTGACCTAACATGTGATCTATCCTGGAGAATGTTCCATGTGCATTTGAAAAGAATATGTATTCTGCTGTTTTTGGATGGATTGTTCTGTATATATTTTTTAGGTCCATCTGGCCTAATGTGTCATTGTTTCCTTGTTAGTAATTATGTTCAGATGATCTATCCACTGATATAAGTGGGTTATTAAAGTCCTCTACTATTATTGCATCACTGTCAGTTTCTCCCTTTATGTCTGTTAAAATTTGTTATATGTACTTAGATGCTCTTATGTTGGGTGCCTAGATATTTACAGTTGTTACGTTCTCTTGTTGAATGGATCCTTTTATCATTATGTAATGGCCAGTGTTGTCTCTTGCTACAGTCTTTCTTTTAAAGTCTATTTTGTCTGGGCGCCTAGGTGGCTCAGTTCCGCATTGGGCTCCCTGCTCTGTGGGGAGCCTGCTTCTCCCTCTGCCTCTCTCTCTCTCTCTCTGACTCTCATGAATAAATAAATAAAACATTTAAAAATAAATAAATAAAGTCTATTTTGTCTGATGTAAGTATTGCTATCCCAGCTTTTTTTTTCTTTTTTGCTTCCTTCTGCCTGGAATATCCTTTTCCATCCTTTTACTTTCAGTCTGTAGGTGTCGAGGTCAGAAGTGAGTCTTTTGTAGGCAGCTTTTTTTTTTAATCAATTTAGTCACCCAGTGTCTTTTGATTAGAGCATTTAGCCAATTTATATTTAGAGTAATTTTAATAGGTATATACTTAATTGCCATTTTGTTAATTGTTTTCTGGTTGT